TGTGTGTGTGTGTGTGTGGGGGTGTGGGGGGGGATATGTACTCTATGTATGTATATGTATAAGATTTCACAGTAATTTTGGAATCTATTTCTGCCTCCTTCCTCTGGCTTTTGAGCAATCCCTCTTCTTTTTTTCTCACTGTTGCTAAACGAAAGTAATCTGTTGATTGTTTTGTTTTTCTGTAAAGATTTGTAGATATACTGAAATTAATTCCGTCATATCCCTTTAGCTTCAAATAATTTCTCTACATAGAGGATCTTGAAGTAAAGTAATGGAAAATCTAATCTTACAGTGGGGCAAAAAAGTATTTAGTCAGCCACCAATAGTGCAAGTTCTCCCACTTAAAAAGATGAGAGAGGCCGGTAATTTTCATCATAGATATACGGTACCTCAACTATGAGAGACAAAATGAGAAAAAAAAATCCAGAAAATCACATTGTCTGATTTTTAAAGAATTTATTTGCAAAATATGCCCCACTGTATATGAAGCCATCAAAGTTAGAGATTTTTTTTTTATTTGGTCAATAAATTGGAAACAAATATTGTTAGAAATCTATTTATCCCAAACCTGATCCTGATTTATTAAAGATACATGAAATAAATCAAAGTCAGTCATTCTTTTTTTTTTCTTGATTTTTATTTTATATAACTCCAAAACAACAAACCACTTGCACGCCTTTCACATAAAATAACAACAAACTCATATCAGCCTCCTCACCTGTCTTAAACTTATCACTTTATTTCATCCTGCATTAGGAAATCAGTTTATATTAGTGGGAAACTTTATTAATGGCTGCTCACTTTATATCTTTGGACTTTTTTATTATAAGTGTGAATTTTTTCTTTCCACAAAATGAAAAGCTCACAAATTTTATAGAATTTATGTTTTTCATGTTTTAGAAGGAGGATGGAGGATATCTTTGATTAATTATTAACTAATTAGTCAATTATTATTAACAGGGAATTATTAACTAATCTATTACCTTTAGTCTTTTAGAATATTTTCATAAAAGGGCTATTACTCCCTGTTTCCACTGATATGACTAAATGAAATATTTTTTGATTCTTTCATTTATCTAAATGTAAAAAATATCTGGGGTTAAAGGCATATGGATTTTTAAAATATTTTGAATGTCAGTAATTATATTTCTTAGTGGAGTTTTTGTATTTTTGTGGATTTGTACGTATGTGGACAGACTGTACCGTTCTCAGTTTCACGTAAAACAGGAACTCTTCTATTTGATTTTTTTATTTTCTCTGAACTTATATATTTGTTTTAATCTATTATCTTTAGTTTTGTTGGGTCCTGATAAAATCAAACAAATCAAATTTCTAAGCTGTAACCATTTATTAAAATGTTTTAATTTCCCTGTTTTTTTTTTTTTGTTTTGTTTTTTTTGTTAAATGTCTAAAGTTCTCTCTCTTTCTCTCTCTGTATTATAAAGATCCCCAATTTTTCCCAACCCCATTATAGTGCAATATTTAAATCTACTCTCTATTCCACCTGGACTGATTGTCTTATTAATCCATATTGGGCTACAAAAGATAAACTGAGGTTTTTGGATTTGAATATTGATTTTACTTGGTAGCAATCAACAATCACGGTTTTCACAATGAAAATAAAAAAAATTTTATGCGTTAAAATATCTGTTGAATCTAAATCCAAAGTCTGTAAAATTATGTAAAACTTTAAATTAGGTTGCCATCTTGGTTTCTAAATATTTTATATTTGTTCAACTTAGTCCCTGAGATTTTACCAAATGACTTGATCATTTCTATTAATTTGGCTTTTAACTTTTCTGTTTTTAAAAACTAACAATACATCCGCTGCAAATAATCCATAATGATGCTGTTGATGCCTGATTGTTATGCCTGTTTCATCCTGGTGATTTCTCATGGTTACTGCTAATGGTTAAATAGCTTTAATAAACAGCAAAGGAGGTAAAGCATCCCCCTAACTTCATCCTTTTTTATTATTATTTTGATATTTTTTAGAAATATTACAACAGTCTTTTTTCCATTTGATAAAGTATTCATCAAAACCACAAAACTTAAAAGCCTCAAACAGAAATAAATGATCCACTCTTTAAATGTCTTATTCAGCACCTGATGACAGCACTATGACTGTATCATTTCCTCTTTTTTATTCATCATATTTAGAAGTCTAACATTAGGAAAACTTTGCCTTTCCTGTGGTTAACAATTCTAATCTTTAAGGATTCAATTCGTGAATATTTAAAACATTTTTAACATTCTTTGTTATAAAACAAAAATATTTTAAACCACTCTTTGAGTTAGATTAGCTGTCAGTCAATTAAAAAAAATAAATGAAAGTTTGTTTCTAATAATTGGTTTCATGTATTGTGTGATGGATGTGTTTCAATTAAAGACGCTGAACTTAGATTTAATTTTTTTTTAAATGATGCCATCTACTGGCCACTCAGCATTACTACATAAAATACAAGACAAAAACCTTAGACTTTATTTCAGATCAATTCATCAAATTATCAAAAGGCTTTATGTTGAATTCAACTACATGAATAAATTCTTCTATTTTTATTTAACTTCCACCAATATATAAATATGAGCGGAGCTTCATTCCCAAGGACCTCATGATAATCTTGCCTGTAGTGATTTATTTAAAAAAATATAGATGTTTTAATTCATGTTCCTGTTGTTTATTGTGATCAGCAGAGATTGACCGTTATGTTTGTGGTGCCTATTAATGTTCATCCTCCCCTATGTGCAAACTGGCCACCCCTACAAACATTTTTTTCCTGGAACTGATGAACAACAACCACAAACCTGTTCTCTATGGTTTGTTACAGAGTGCAATTAGTTTGGTTTCACCGTATTTTGGCAACTTTATTTGTTTAATACTTTTCCCGTCCTTTTATAGAGCTAATTTTTTCAGACACTGCAAGGTGACCAGAACAGTTCTGTTTAAATGAGGTGAGACACAGAGAAATGATAATAACCTGCAATCTACCAAAATGCTGGACTATATTGATAGAACTCTTGCTCAGTTTGGTTCATTTATAAAGAACGATGTCATGACTGCACTTTTTGGTTGTTTAAGTTTTCTTTTGGAGTTTTCAGTTATACTTTGATTCATGTCTGTGTCTTCTGGTTTTATTGGGTTCATTTCCATTTTGTTATTCTAGTTGTTTTTGGTTTTATCTTTGAGTTCTTATAGATTTCTTGTTTACCCTCTGTTGCCCCCCTGTGTTAGTCTGCTTCTCCTAGCTCCCTATTTGATTCCTCTGTTCGCACCTGCTCCCAATCTGATGATTAGTCTGGTCTTTGTTCAGTCTCCCATTTAAAAACTCAGTAACTTCCGTCACTGTTTCATGGCTCCTCGTGTTTTTTCCTGGAAGTCTCCTAGATTTTGGTTTTCTGTATTTGTTATTTGGATTTTGCTTCTGTTGCCACTTTTTGGACATTAAACCTACAATAACTTATTTCTGCCTCCCTCATCTCTGCATTCGGGTCCTCCAAAATCTCCACCCAACCCGACAAACCAATTTGCAACCACTTATTTTAAGAAACTTAACCAAAAAGACAAACAGATCCTGTTCATTTGACTTAAATCAAACCTTTCTTATAGTGATAAATAACAGAAGATAAAATAAAAGGAAAGATGCTTCAACTGAACCAGAAGGCAGGATTTAATATAATTCACTCTTTTAAAATAGAAACAAGTCCCCACTAATGTTATCTAAAGGTAATTTACATGACAGCTTTAATACAGAAACATGTAACAGAATTTAACACAAACACAGAATGAAATTCAATCATAAACATCCAGTCAAATTCAGCTTATTATGGCGTTTAAAGAAACGTCTTCAATCCGAGGAAGCTCAGCCAATCACATCCAGTCATTAATCTCGCAGCAGTCCCTCCTCCTGAGCAATGAAGTGGTGACAGTAGAGAGGAAAACTAGCTTTAAGCAGGAAGGAACCTCCAGCAGAACCCGGCTCCATGTCAGCGCCCATCTACTGCGGCAGAGCGGGTCTTTAACAGGACAGCAGACGTCCAAGAGGAGCCGGTCCAACGAGGAGACGACCGTCTCTGGAAGAGAAGAACAGGAGTTAGTGAAAGAACACGCTAGTCTGTGACATTTAAACACAGAAACACTGAGAGAGGTGGAATTTTAACCAAGAGAAGAGGAAAACTCACAGGGAGAAGCTAAAGCTAACAGCAGTGATAACTGTAGACAATGGATGCTTGGAGAAAATGCCTGAAAATGCTGCATTTGTTGGAGTCTACAGTCGGTTTCATCAGGGTCGTTTCTTTGCTTTAAGAAGTTCTAAAAACCCTTCAGAGATCAACCAGGGGGAAATTCTCCCATATTGGATCAGAAGCTGCTTCTTAACTCTTTATCTGTGGTCTAATGGAAAAGTCAGAACTTCTGGTTCTGGTGAAGGTTTGGTTATAGAGATATAAATTGATATGAACATCCATTCATGATGGAAATATAAAGATTAAAGGTCAGGCCACCTTGATGGGATGGTTGTGGCTTTTGAATCTATTTGTTCTGGATCTGTTTTTATTGTCATCACCACTACTGATGAACATCTGGAAGCAATAAAGGTTCTTTACCGTCTTTCTGGGTGGAGCAGACTGATGGTTTAGCTGCAGGGTCGTCGTCGTTTTTCATTCCAGGACTCCAGAATGTTGGAGAGACGAGCAGGGCAGCCATGTTTCTCCTCCTTGGTGGTCTGTGTTCTCCATCCTCTGCTTCAGCTCCTTCACCAATGAAAGCAAAGCGTCCTCAGAGTCTGAAACTGTCTGCATGTGATTCCTCTCTAGTCAAACAACCAACATACCTCCAAACACGTGTGGATGGACTCTGTTCCACGGAGATCCGACTGTTTGAACGCTGCTTCCATATTCAACCTGCTTCTCCTGTAGAAAAGAAGCTAAATTAATCTACAGAATTTCTTCGACACCAAGTTTAAATCTGGAGCAGGATGTTGTTCTAATAGTCATCTTGGTCTCTCTGTGTTCTGCCTGGAAGCTTGAGTTGTCTGTTTGTCGTGTTAATAAAGGCTTACTGCAGGTGTTTTCCTCTGTGCCGTCCTCAGGTGGGACTAGGAGGCTCCTCAGCATCCTGGAGGTCCCGGTTCCTCACAGCACTTCTGATTTTGGACGTCCACAGTTCCTGAAAACACATGAAAAACTAAGTGAGGCCACCTGAAATGTTGACTCTATGTTTAAATGATGGATTATTGTGTCTCCTTACTGAACATGCTCTCACTGTTTACTGCTCCTCTGGTTTGGTCGCCGTAGATCTCATCAGCATCTTCTGACGGCCCAAAGCTTGTAGCGGCTCGGTCCGACATGGGATTCACAAACACAGAAGAGATCCACTGCGGTCAGAACTGGCCTAGATCATATGGAGAATATTTCTGCACAGGGTTCTTTCCCTTAAACTAGGCCTGAACTGAGGAACATCTAGAACTAGATCAACTCACAGCTGAAAGCGGGTTCTAACAGTCGGCGCCATTCACAATCCACATCCCTAAATCAGTCCTGTCCTCTGCTTCAAACTGCTCTGAAATCAATTAGTCCCTCCAAGCATCGTCTTTATCTTCTCACCATCATCCCAGAGACCAGTGCAACTGGTGACCACCGCAATCTTTGCCACTGTTCTATTCTAGATCCAGTTGGTGTCCAGCAGCATTGTCCTTCTATAGATCAGGGCTTTCCAGCTCCACTCCTCCAGAGCTGCTATGCTGCAGCTTTTAGTCACATCGTTTCTCCATTAGACCTGAATCAAACGTCTGAATTCCCTCATCAGTCATTCAGCTCTGTAGGGTTGTTTGATCCTGGTGTTTTGGAGGAGAGATGCACCGGAAAGCTGCAGAAAAGCTGCTGTAGAGGACTGGAGTCAGAGAGCTCTGCTCTAAGGAGCTTCTAATCAGTCTCTACAGCCTTGTCCCTCTGCCTCTAGACCAGGGATCTCAAACTGGTTCCAGAAAGGGCCATGTGGCTACAGGTTTTCTTTCCAACCAAGCATTTGCACACCAGACTCCAGTCATCTCATCAAGTGAGTCCAGTCTGATCATGATGACTTGATGAGATGACTGGAGTCTGGTGTGCTAAATCCCATATGTCAGGACAACAAAGCGGTGTGTGTGTGTGTTAAAGATTTGGCATTGCTTTTCTAAATTATATATATTTTTCCAATGCTATTGTATTCATAGAGCAAACTCTTATTTGTTCTCTCTGCAAAACTTCACTGCACATTTGACAAATGTTACCCCATCCCTTAATCTGTTTGCTGGACAAACTGGTCTATTGGATTGACTACTAAATCTTTACATTTTAAGCATTAGAATAAACATCAACTATAAAGATCACTTTACTCAGATGATTAAAAGGTTTGGGCTCCCCGTTTTCTCCCTGACAACTGCATGGAAAAGCAATTCATTTTCCAGATGAAATGTCTGTTTAATCCACCTGTGTGAATCATCTTCTCCTCTTATCCTATGTGTCTGCGCTCCTGTGAGGTTTAGCTGGGATTTGAGTCATCAGGAAACTTTTCTATAGGGAGGAATGAAGCCTGATGGAGAGGTTTAGAAAACTGTGTCATGATCTAAAATATTCCAGGTAATCGGGATTGGTTTTAAATTCTAGGGGGGAAGACAAACTAGAAAGACACTACGATATACCAAATTTATGCTATAAAAATATACATTTAATTCAGTCTAATACCCAGACTGTGTTATATGCAAACAAAGCTGTGATACAAGGAGGAAAATCTAAGCAGATATATTATCTGTTAATGAGTTCATAATTCTGTACAAAAGCAAGCAGCTCCTATGGAGGGCAGGAAGTAAACCCAGCATCATTCATCCAATACCTACAGCAGCCTGACAATGTACAATTTAAAAAGATTTACCATACAATTTAACCTCTGTGTAAATCCAGCTGGTTTTTTAAAGGCCTCATAGGTTTGTTAAAGAACATTAGTGAATAAACAGCACAAAGAAAACAGTAAAGGGGTCAGGGAAAACTTAAATCCAGATTAGGGTAGAGATCTTATCATGGGAGGGGAACGTTTTAATTAGGAAAAATGTAGTGTCGCTGCATGCTCATGCAGGAGGAGCGAAACCTATAAAGCCGATGAATCTATGCTTCAGCTGAGATTCCTTAGAAAGATTTTCTATTGCAAATTTATAAGATTTAATTTCAATATTTGTTCTGAAACCAGCAGAACCAAATTAGATACAAAGATGGATATGAACTAAAATATGCATTAATCATTTCCTACTAACCTCAACAAGAAACTATTGAAGAACAAAATGTGTTGCTTCAGGAGCAATCAAAAAATAAAATGTTTTCTTCTGATGGATTTTACTTTTTTAAAATCTTTCAAGGTTCTACAGAAATATGAGTAACTTAGAAGTTATTTAAAAACATTGTATTTAAACAACCTTGCTGCCTTTTGCTGCTGATCCACCAGAAATGTCCTACTGCAGGATAAAACATGATAAGTTACTATAGTTGTTACTACTGGCCAGTAGGGGGCGTAACTGAATACTGCTTGAAGGCTTCTGATCTTTAGAAAGAATAGAATATATCAGGTGAGCTCTCCTATAAGCCAGGATAATAACGACCCAATTACAGAGGCTTAAGGAAGCGTATTGCATTCACCAAACAAAAAAAAAATCAGACCGCTTATCTCATAATTTTTATAGGTTGGTGCAGGGGCAGAGCTAGATGGGGGGCCAGGGGTGGCCATGGCCACCCTCAGCCAATCATTAGCCACCCATACCATTTTCCCCCTTCAAACGCAGATGGTGGTAGCAGTAATACTCTGAAATGGAATATTCAAAGCATTTAAATTTTTGGTGGTTAATGATACACATTAATATACTAACATCAAAGATGACAAATACAGAATTCATGCTCTTTTCAGAACTAAAGTTTGTGTTATATGGAGTAAAGAGAAAACGTGTCTCTGCAAATCATCTGGGAGTCTTCAGTGAAATCATAGGTGAATAAAACTGTTGATAAAAAACTTATCAAATAATAATATTAATACATGTAAATATCAATTTATGCAGATTGTATGTTGATACAAGTAGGTCAGTAATGACAATGGAAAAGATTTATGCCCCAGATCTCAAAACTGAACGAATTTTATCCACTATACCAGTGGTCCCCAACCATCGGGCAGCGGACCGGTACCGGTCCGTGGGTCATGTGGTACCAGGCCGCACAGAAAAAAGTATATATAATTGATCAGAGTCTGAGAGATGTTTTATTTTGAAAAATACCGTATAAAAAATTGCGGTATTCTCTCCCAATTACATCAGTCGGTGCATCTGTGCGTCTTGACACAGGTTAATTCAGTTCAAGACTCATCTTATCTATAACATCTTATCTTTGTGAAGCAGGATTTTCTGCGGTTACAGCGACCAAAACAAAGCTACGGAGCAGACTGGACATCAGGAGCACACTTCGTCTGTCATTTTCTCCGATTACGCCTAGATGGGACCGGCTCGTTGTTTTATCTTCATGCTGTTTGTATTTGATTTTATGCCAGTCGTATCATTTTACTTGATCGTATCCGTNATATCAGGTGAGCTCTCCTATAAGCCAGGATAATAACGACCCAATTACAGAGGCTTAAGGAAGCGTATTGCATTCACCAAAAAAAAAAAAATCAGACAGCTTATCTCATAATTTTTATAGGTTGGTGCAGGGGCAGACCTAGATGGGGGGCCAGGGGTGCCCATGGCCACCCTCAGCCAATCATTAGCCACCCATACCATTTTCCCCCTTCAAACGCAGATGGTTGTAGCAGTAATACTCTCAAATGGAATATTCAAAGCGTTTAAATTTTTGGTGGTTATATTATTATATTATACACATCAATATACTAACATCAAAGATGACAAATACAGAATTAATGCTCTTTTCAGAACTAAATTTTGTGTTATATGGGGTAAAGAGAAACAAGATATTCTCATTATCAGTTCGAATGAAATTGTACGAAAAGTTATGCACACTATTTCGTACGTTTTGGACGTTTTTCCTCAAAAAAAACAGATCAGTGCGCATGCGCAGGCAGACAGACAAAAAAAGCAGATCCGCGGACGGACGTAAAACTGGGAAAAACAGTGCAATAATTACTTCTTCATGTCTCTAACTACGTTGCTTGCTGTTTTATATCTTAGGGTTAGGGTTAATTGTATGTTAAATTCTATGTTATTGAATGTAAGATGCGCATGCGCATACGACGAAAAGAACGTCCAAAACGTACGAAATGACGGTGCATAACTTTTCGTATGATTTAATATGAACTCACAATGAGAATACACTGAGAGAAAACGTGTCTCTGCAAGTCATCTGGGAGTCTTTAGTGAAATCATAGGTGAATAAAAATTTTGATAAAAAACTTATCAAATAATAATATTAGTACATGTAAATATCAATTTTATGCAGCTTTTTTATTGATACAACTAGGTCAGTAATGCCAATGGAAAATATTTATGTCCCAGATCTCAAAACTGAATGAATTTTATCCACTATACCTTTTATTTAAAAAGTTGATTGGCTTTGAGGTTCTGATGCCTTTCCGCTTTTGGCCACCCCTCAGTGTACATTGGTTATTGCCTGGCCACCCTTATAAAAATGTTCTTTCTACGCCTCTGGGTTGGTGATGTCTTAGAATGGACACATCAGCTGCTTAATCTGTGGTTTTAAACCTCCTGTTATGGTTTTCAGTTGGTAATGTTGTATCAGAGACATGCTAGATGTGTTTTCTACAAAAAGTGGTGAGTTTAGTCTAAATGATTTCATTCTCAAACATCCCCTGAGCAAAAAGAAAATGTCAACCATTTTATAATAGGTTTGACATTTATTATTCTTTCATTGTTTTATTTTAATGGTTTCAATAACAATATGAAAATGAGATTTCCTCAAATGAAAAAGTGCGTTGTATTTTTCTTGTATTTCCATTATTTATGGCTTAACTTAAGCAACTTGGATGTGAAATGAAGGGATCATAACTATGTGTATTCCCCTTTAGTGAGCAAAATAGAAAAATCAGGGGTCCCTTGGGTCCTGTTTTCTCTTAAAAACATGATTTGTTGTATAAATACCATTAATTTAAACCCACTTACTTAAAAAAATATATTTGGTAGCCACAGCAGAGGCATTACAATCAAACGTATTATGGATGTCAACTCCTTTAGAGTCCAGAGTATGGATTAATAAAATAAACATTGGCATCAAAGATGGCAGGAACTTTGGTCCTTTGTGCTACTTTTCATTTCTATTAGTCATTTCACAGAATTATTTTCTCCTATATTTTTTTTTCAGGCAAAGAGTTTATTATTATGTTTAAGATCTGTGGGAGAATTCACTCTGATAGGAGCCGGCTGCCAGAAACCCAAGTCTTAAAATAATAAAATTGTATAAAATATTCAGAAAATAGACCAAAAGTCCTAATAAGCAGCCCTCAGTGGTGGATATAAGATTTATTTACGGGTAAAAACTGTTAGATATCGGCTTCATCAGCTTAATATATTGTGACATGTAATAATCTCAATAGACACATGGATTATTTTAGATCTTTTTGTCGACCACAGCATTAAAGCCATTTTTGACCAAATTAAAGATGATTTATATATATTTTATTTAGAATTGAAGCTGATTTCTAAACATGTTTTAGTTCATACAACAGTTCCTAATGTATAATGTAGTTACGGTTCACCAGTGCAAGCATAAATCACACAGCAGTTTAAATAAAATGATAACTTTATTTCAGACAATCCAGGACATTTACAAATTTAACAAATCAAATAAAATTACATGGTTAAGTTTTTGTTTATGTCTGAAAACAGGTATGAAGACATCAAACTGATTTAACCTCACCCCATCTTCCTATTACATGAACCAGAGTAAACATGAGGGGGCTGCACAGTTTTTCCTATGTTTATGTTTACGCATTTAGCAGACGCTTTTATCCAAAGCGGCTTACAAAGAAGACACAGTTTTACAGTTATCATCAATATGACAATACGTTCCTTAGAGGAAAACTCCCTAGTCAGAAGCAGTGGTGACAGCAAAGAGAGAAAGAAATACAGGAAGAGTAGTAGAGAGCTACAGAGCTATGGGTAAGAGTTAGGATAGGAGATGCTCTTTGAAAAGAGGGGTCTTTAGGAGTTTCCTAAAGATAGAAAGGGACGCTGCTCTTCTTGTAGCGCTTGGTAGATCATTCCACCATCCTGGAACCACCCATGAAAACACTGGATTGTCCATTGCTGACCGGAATGCCCAAGTTGTTAAATACAG